CCAATTGACGTGGAATCAAGATTTAATCCACGCTGGAATCCAGATTCGATATATTTAGGAACGTCTACCCACAATGAATGGGTTCAAGTTTCTAAAGATGTGTTGGATCGAGATTCTGAAATTAAAGAATCGAGCTTCCTTGGTTACGATATATGGTTTCTAAAGATGTGTTGAATCGAGATTCTGAAATTAAGGAATCGAGTTTCTTTGGTTCCGAAAAATGGTTTCTCAGATGTGTCAAATCGAGATTCCAAAATTAAGGAATCGAGTTTCCTTAGTTCGAAAAACAATTTCCGTTGAGATTCCTTAACGGAAACATGGAATCGGGTTTCGGAACCGGAAACGTGAGGTCAGTGGAGAGACTCCGGTAACTATGGTGTATACCAATATCTCGATCTCAACTTGTTGGGAAGCTGGATTCCAACTTTTGGGATCGCATCCTAAATTCTAAAGGTCCAAGGCCCATCTGGTAAAAGTTTTTTTTTTCTCTTTGAGAAATATATAGGATATGTTTTTGCAATATAATTCCTTTCATTTTTTAATGGATATGCATTTAGGACTTGTCCTCACAAAAGATCAATCTAACATGGGTGATTTATATCAACTGATCCCTAAGGAATTTAGATCATGTTCCCCCATATGGGAGCAAAATCAGCCCAAGTACAACCCCCTAGAGTGTGGGATCGACAGGACGACCACCAACTTGGGAGACCCTGGTGACTAAGTTATAATGACAAGTGAGTAATCAATTTGTCTTCTTTGAAAACCACAAGACCTGATCTCGTTTGAAAACCTTTTTAAATCATGCCCTTGATATCAGCCCATATATTGCTTGTTTTAGCCTAGAACCTTCAACTGCAGATCTCCCTCGCTATAATTGGGCAGCTGCTCCATACACACTTCTTCCTTCAAGTCATCATTTAGGAATGCATTCTTCACAACTACTTCATATAATGACCAACCATGTGTGACAGCAAGGAAAACAAAGAGTGTACTTGTCCCCATTTTGACTACATGACTAAAGGTCTCAACATACTTATCCACGCTCATGTGTATATGCTTTTGCTACAGAAGAAGCTTTAAACCATTCAATACTTCCATTTGCTTTGTGCTTCACTTTAACCACCCATTTGCAACCAACCACATTACTACCAATTGGTCTATCCACTTTCTCCCATGCATCTTTCTTCATTCATAGCTTCTACCTACCTGTAATGTTTCTTGCCACTAAGTAACCAGGGGTTCCAGATATTTTTGTATCTCTGCCATAGACATTTGATGTTGACGGCACAATGCTTCATACCCATTTTTCAACTGGGTGTTTGATTTGGATCTTCTGGCTGGGATAACTTGATCATGGGCATTGGAGTTCACTGCTTGATCATTACATGTTACACCGTCTCTAGTTAGAATGGGTTGTCTTCCTACATCATTGGGCTATTGCATATTTTTGAAGGTCGCATTTTTTCAGTTTGAACCCCCAAACATGTCCTTTCATTCTAGGAAGGCAATTAATACCCATATCAACTACTGCATGTTTGTGCCGTCTTCTATAAGTAAGCAATGGCCTATTATTATGGTTTGGACCTGCTGTAAAAATGATCACTGACAGCTAACATTTGAGACAGTCGATGGATTTTAATGAAGCTCTTCAAGCGTCTTTTTCTTTTCTATGAATTTGTTTAATCAGCATAGGATCAGATCCATCTAAGTGACCCACAAGGCCATGATTTCAAATGAAATACAAGATTTGATGATTCCATGTGAGGAAATTCATCGAGGTCAACCTTTCATAGAAACAAGTTGGGGAAGAAATGAAGAATTGAGGGGAAGGGCCATTAAATGGGGACAGATTATCTTTTCCCTTTTTTTTGCGGTGAATTTTCAGGCCCCTTTTCTTTGTGTAATCGATTAAAGGGATCTTCTGTTTTTAAGAAATGGATTTTGGAGAGCTAATGGAGCTGCCCCTTTTTTTATAGAAGAAATCAAGAAAAGAGGATAAGAGAGAGATTAAGCATAAAAGAATTAGATGAAAAATGTAAGGTAGAGAATCAAACGAGGGTTAAGAAAAGAATCAGAATCAGAAAAACAAGAGTTGAAGTTAGGACTTATGAGAGCAAATTAGATGAAGAATAAGAGAAAGGAACTAGAGGAAAAAATAATCAGTTTTAAAGGGAGGAGAAAAGACATGGAATAAGATTTGATAAGGAGAAAGAACATGAAACTAAGTTAGATCTAAGGTCGGGCTACTACCAGTTGCAGATCGGGCTGAGCACAAGACGACTTGCGTAACGAGGTATGGTGCTTTTGAGTTCCTAGGAACGCCTTTTTGAGTTCCTAGTTCCTAGTAATGCATTAGAATTTTCGATTTAGGGTTAGAGAGAAGAGAAGCATTGTCATTCAGGGTTTTGAAGAACATGAAGAAGATCGATTAAGGTTTTCAAGTAAGGGTTTAGGTGGACAGAAAATAACAAGGAAGAAAATGACTGGATCAGTTAGGGTTTTGATGAAGTAGAAATATGAGTGAAAGTGAAGAGATTATGGGTAACTTGATTGTACTGAGAAGATCTGTGATCCGCACTGATACCAAATGAAAAATGAGATTTGGAGAGAGAGAGAGAGAGAGAGAAATGGGCTGCAAGTCATTCCACACCATTTTAGATTGTTGGTACGATCGATTTGTTTCACCTTATATATTAGAACATTAGGATATGATACTCCATCAGTAACCATTACAAAAAGTTACTCAATGATGACCCTTCATGGATTCGCCTGCATAAGCTGTGGCCAAAGTTGTAAGTTCCTTAAGCAGATCCTATGTCATCCCCATAATATATTAAATCTACACTCCTTTCATCATCATATCATCAGAGCTTTTTCCCAACTAGTTGCGGCTGGCTTACATCTACACTCCTTTACCATTATAAAATTATAGCACTGCACTCAAAATGCTGCACATCAAAATTACAATTATACTCATCACTTACGAGCAATACTGACTGACAACATCATCAACACATGATATTAAATTAAATATACGTAATATATGAATCAAACTAAAGAGTTCATATATTATATATATAGTTCACAATATTATGGTGCAGGATAAAGATACCTAAGAGACTTAACTCCAGGCTTGACAAGTTGAGACCCTACTTGGGAGACACTCGAGGTGACTTCTGTTGACCTATCCATATCTGATTGGCCTTTGAAACGCAATATATGAGGGATTTGAGCAAGTCAATGTGGGACTCATTGGGCCCTAGTAGGCAAAGGCTGATCCCTTGCATGACTTGCCTAGTCATAGATTTCCCGAGTCCATGCAATTTCAGGCCTCTCAAAGCCTCAATAAATTTCAAACCATTTTATTGATATCGGGCATGTTTTGCACAATTTTAGGGGAATAGGAAATGTTTTACCATTTTTTCACTCCCCAAAAGTACTTGTCAGCCCAAACACATAGAATCAACATTAATGAGTTTTTTAACAACAATCGTTTTGGTTTTCTGATTTTCATCTTTCATGTTTTTCTATATAACTTTAGCCATTTTGTTGCTGTTTATGATTATGGGAGAAAGAGAGCATTTATTGGTGATTTAGCATTCAAAAGATTTTATTTTGTTGACAACCCACGAGGAAATTGTCTTTCAGGTAAAGCTCAAGAGCTTATTGGGTTCTTTGAATACTTTTGACACTAATTTTCTAGTTTAAAGGCCTATGATGTCAGAGAAACAAAAATAACCTAAGGGCATGGATTATAGGAGAACAACAACTAGTCAATTGTATGCTGACTACTGCTTTATCTAAATAGAAAAGTCTTCATTCGACAAGGCATACAATCAGCAATATCGCAATAAAGTACTTATTTTCCAGTGGCGCAATCTGTCTGATATGCACTATGCACTATGGTTTTAAGGGAAGCATTTTACCACAGGATCTTTCAATTGTGGTGCATGACTTGGCCTGTCACCATATCACAACAAACCACAAGGTCTGGGGATGATTTGAACATGTAAATTGACGGAAGTATAAAATGTCAAATCCAAAATGTGTACATGTTTAAGTGTACATCTGTTCACTATGCCAAGGTTCAAGAGTAATTAAGGAAATTATTTTATTCTTTATGTCCTAAATATGTATTACAACACAAGCAGGTGTTTCTAATACTTGAACATATCTCATACTTCATATTAGTGACAGAGATCACCTCTATTGAGATCACTTAGTGAATGGTATAGGATATAACAGGCCTATGGCATCAGGCACCTAACAACCAATGCATCAAAATATATGTTTACAACTCGATTCATGGATTTGAGTTGGTTCAGGCACCTACCAAGCTCCAATACATTTATACATGCTGGATACCAAAAGAAATGAGAGTATTATTGTTAATGGATTAGGGAAGAAGACAAGCTCAAACACTGATAGATAAGACAAAACTACAAATTTAAAACTATCAATCTGAATTCCATGAACAGGACCATTAGGGGATTCACTAATTGAACAGAACAAGCCATAAACTATACTCACATCACTTTATATTTATAAGGAAATTTGGTCACAAATCAAATTTTTTAGGAAGATCTCCATTATTGGAACACTTATATTTTTTCCTTTTCCTTTTTTTTTTTTTCTTTTTTTTTGAAAAGGTGTGCAACAGTGAAATTTTAAGAACCTTCAAATGCTTCAATCCTTCAGCCAAGAATTCAGAAATTAGATATACATTGACTCAGATTGACAAAGTTATGGCTTGCAACTATTACCATTTATTCAGAACTTTATGTAATTAATGAAATATTAGGCCCAGAGTCACATTAAAACTTTCTTTTTTTTTTTAATAAAAGAAAGAACATATAAACATTTGGATATAGTGCAGTCCAAAATAGTCGAGAAAAAAAAATCCAATATGACATTCTCACCAAGAACTTCAAAGTGGAAACATAACACTGCACAAATTACTATAATAAATTAGGAGGGACACAACCAACTTGGAATACCTGAACAACATCTTCCCCTTTGATTACCCTTCCAAACACAGTAATCTTATCATTCAAATCTGGAATGGGTGCAGTTGTTATGAAAATCTCAAATCCTGTATTGTCTTGTTTGGGCTTTGAAGTTCCAATCATAAATGCCTCATGCTTTGGACTGGACATGTCAGAAAAATAAAATGACATGAGCCATTATATCCAGGAAAGGAAGATCCCAGAAACAAATGGTACAAAGAATTATATCTTTAACAATAGAGACTTTTATTACTTTTGATTCATACCCTCAAGTGAAGATTGTAGGAATAGGAATAAGTTGGAGAAAATCTAGCTAACAAACCTGATAGCAAGCTGACTGTGGGATTTACCACTAAAAGTCCATTCCTCAGCAGATCCAACCTCCTTTGGGTCCCCTCCTTGAATAACATAGTGTTTTATCACTCGGTGAAAAAGCAAACCTTTGAAGTAACCCCTCTGACTGGAACAGAAGCTCCATATAAGTTTCAATAAGATTTAGGAATAAGTCACTCTATGAGTAAACAACGTAGCAGAATTTATTTACCTCAAAGCAGAAAATGCTGGTAACCACAAGAGAAGCAAACTAAGGCTCGCATGATCAACATAGAAAGGCAAATAACTTGTGGATTTTTATATCTAATTACCAGTATAAATTGCATTCTACCTCACTTGTGAAATACGTAATATCAAAGGTTTCAAACACCCAAATTATAACTCCAACTCCAAAAATGAGCATATTAGCAAGCATGCATGAACACACACAAGGACCACAACATCCCTGAGGAAGCACCATGACCGATCCAAAATACTCAGCATTTGTAATTCATGGAGCAACAGGTAGACATTCTCACAAATAATTATCGTTGTCATCATCATCATCATCATCATCATCATCATCATCATCACTAGAGCCTTTTCCCAATTATTTTGGGTCAGCTACATGAATCATGGTCCGCCATTCTGCCCTATCAAAGGCCATATCCTCAAACATTCTCATAGATAATTTGAATCTCAAATTTTCGTGTAGTTCAGAAGAAGCTTTTAAAATACTAAAAATTATAGCCCAACTACAATTAATAAGAATCATATACATGAAGAACATTTTGCGACTTGCTTGTGCACAAATTCACATCATACAACTCTCCAAACTCTAGAAGCATGGCAGAGTTATCATGCCAGTAACTGAGATGTAACCCTCTTACACCACGCGGTAATAATTTGCACATGCAATCTTCCATGGGTACGTACAAATCTTGTGAATACAAACTTGCTTTTTGTATACCTTCCAATTGTCCTCAAATACCGTGTGGTTGGGCCAGCTAACCTACTTCACTAAAACAGATGGCCATCTCTGTAAAGCCCAACAACTAGCAAGAAGATGACACGTTGGAGAAGCATAGTTGTAAATATATATGGCACAAAAAACTGCAAATAAACATGAAAGGAAGAATGTAAAATGGCAAATCTTCCATGCAGCCTTTAACAAGAATTGCTTCTATTATACCCAAAGAAACACCATACCCTCACATGTTGAAACACATACTCTATTTAAAGCTATTTCATTAGGCACCACCACTCCAAAGTCCAAAGGAAAGCAAATTGGACTTCAACAAACTCCCAACTAAGTCCTTTTGGAATCTGAAATGCAACATATTTTGGTTAGCCTAGATCTAACAAAGTTAAAGTGAACCTTAAACAAGGACAGAATGTTGATCTTCCAGAGATCAAACATCATCAAAGGCCCTCTAGCACTACGTCTAGTAGATGCCTCCATGCAGACTAACACACATGTGGAAGGATTTCAGAAGGTTTGAAACACCCACCAAGAAAGAGTTCTAAAGCTTACAAACTTGACTAATAAAGTAAACTAGTCCACCCAACACAACAACCCAAACATGACAGCCCAACATGCATCCACAGACACAAACACAAAGACAGATTTTTAACTATATTTTGTAAGCAAGTTGGGGAATAATAATATATCGGTAAACCAAAATATCGGTAATAAATCAGTTTTATTCCAAAAAGTTTGAGGCAAAAAATCAGATCAAAAATACAGATCACCCAAATTAGGTAAGATATAAAATATTTCGGATTTGGCGCGAAAAGACGGAGTGAAAAAACCGGCTATGTAAAGATGACACAAAATAGTATTATGATATGCAGTTATTGTATGGATGCATTAAAGCCATTGAAGATTGAACGATAACTTTTTGTCCTTACCTAGCATCATTGGGTAATACTTGACAATTTTTGGTCTAAAACTTTCAATAAATACAATGAAAATGCTTACTACAACAAATAAACACCTATAGATTTCTAGGGAGCATACAATGAAACAACAACAACAATAATATTAAACACAAAAACTATATTAGAAAATAAGAAGAACTAAGATTATCTTTTTGAACAGAAAACGATAAAAGTCCTTCAGTATAGGATTGCAGTTAGCTAAAACACAAAAACTGAACAATGTAAAATAGTGGTCCATCAAAAATGGTATACTGAAATATTTTTTTTTTTTATAGAAGTTTACTTAACATTAAATAAAAGGAGTTACATCGGTACAGTGAGGTCCACCACGCATGAACGTCAACTGTGTCATGGTCCATGAGTGGAGGACCAGACGAGATAGATACAACCACTGAGAGGGGCTGATAGAAATGCCCAGTTACAAAAGCGGACAAAAGGAAAGCATAGAATCTCAGTTACAAAAGCGGACAAAGGACAACAAAGAAGGGCTTATAGTATTTGCCCTTTACACAGACTATTACAAATTGGACAAAAGAAAACTGAGTGGGGGCTTATAGTTTTGCCCTTTCACCCATACTAACTGCTTCCATTTAGGTATGTTGCCGGGCAGCTTCTTTAGCCAGTGCATCTGCGGTTGCATTTGCGGTTCTTTGGGTGTGCTTCCAAGTGACTTCCAAGTCCCTGCATAAGTGTTCAATTTCATCAAAAATATGTGTCAAATACCAAGGTGGATCGCTTATCCCAGAACCCCAGTTACTAATGTTGTTGGCATCTCCTTCAATCTATAGTATTCTTCCCCAAGGGTGGTTAAAATACTTGATTCCAATTAGAAGGGCTTTGGCTTCGGTTGTCTGTGAGTCCTTAATTCCTATGTATTCTGAATAGGTGAGAAGGATTCGTCCTTGATGATTTCTATACACCCCCCCTACGCCTGCCGGACCTGAGTTTCCCAAAGAGCTCCCATCAAAGTTGAGCTTTATTTGATCCTCTGAAGGAGGAGTCCATCGAGGGGTGCTTTGACTCCTGCGATGACTGAGGTTAAGGAGATTTTCCCATTCACACATAAAGGAATAGGTAGAGATACCCACAAATAGTTTATGGTGGGATGCCCAAAAAATAACAGAGGACGTTATTTTTGGAACGTGGTCTGGAAAGTATTCTTAACTCCTCGAAAGATCCTAGAGTTCTTTCCCCCAATATGTGCCAAAGGGCAGCAGCGACAGAGGCTTTCCATAGAATTTTCCCCGATTTCCTAAACCTGTCCTCATAGGTCTATGCTAACAAAGCTTGGATTGAAGGTGGAAGAACCCACGAGAGACTAAATAATTGAATAAGTTGACTCCAAATTGAGTATGTGAAGTCGCAGTGTAATAACATATGTGATATTGTTTCTTCTTCTTTAAGGCACATTATACATCTGTTAGGAAATTGAAATCCTCTTTTCTGAAGGTTGTCTATGGTTAGGGGCCTACCTAGAGTCGCTAACCACTGAAAGAGTTGAGTCCTTGGTGGGGCTATAGAGTCCCACACTCTATTTGATAAGTCAACTATGTTTGTCCCATCTACCAAGACCCTATAGAAGGAGGCTACTGTGAACCTCCTTGAGGCTGATGGGGTCCAAATCATGGAGTCCATCCCTGACAGTGATAAGAAAACTCCATGGAGTTCAGAGCTGAGTGTAGAAAATTGAAGAAGTTCTTCATCAGACAGAGACCTTCTAAAAGATGGGTTCCAATCCCTACTGTTGCCAGAGAGAGTCATTTCGTTCACTATCATTGACTCTTTACAGTTGGAGATCGAATAAAGGAGGGGGAATCTATCTTTTAGGGATGAACAGTCAATCCACAAATCCTCCCAAAATCTCACTCTATTTCCTCCTCTTGCATGAAAGCAAATATTAGATCTAAACCGGGGGAGGAGGGATACCAGAGTTTTCCAGATACCTGATCCTGTGGAAAAGTAGTTGGTCTTTGGCAGCCACCTTTGTGAGGAGATATAATATTTGCTTCTTATCACCTGCATCCAAAGTTGGTTCTCATGATTTGCTAACCTCCACCATTTCCCCAAAAGTGCCCAATTCTGATTCCTTAGGTCTCTTATCCCCAAACCTTCCTTCTTCTTGTGTGTACAAATCTTGTTCCAAGATACTAAGTGGAATTTCTTCGTTTCTGCTGAGCCCGACCATAGGAAATTCCTCATAAGTTGTTGTATCCTTTTAGAAACTGAAGCTGGAATTTGAAAGAGCGACATGAAGTAAATAGGGGTATTGGCAAGGGAAGCTTTGATGAGAGTACTTCTGCCAGCCATAGACAGATACCGCCCTTTCCATCCTGCCAGTCTTCTGTCTATTTTATCAATGACGTGGGCCCACAGCTGCTTTTTGGGTTTTCCAAGGCCGAGGGGAAGCCCTAAGTAGAAGGTTGAGATTTCTTCCACTGCACACTCCTAATCTGTGATAAAGTTCCTGGTTAGGGAGGGATTAAGACCAACTCCAAGCATTTTAGATTTCGCGCCATATTGACCTTAAAGCCGGTGGCCAACTCAAAACAAGCAAGGAATACTTTTAGGTTCTGAACTTCGATCTTATTTGCATCAAGGAATGCCAAGGTGTCATCTGCATATTGTAAGTGTGACACACTTGGGCCGGTTGTACTTGTTTTGAATCCAAAAAGTAAACCAGCCTGGAAGATCGCTGAAGACCTCTCCCACTATCGTGAAAAGGAAAGGGGAGATTGTCTTAGACCCCTGGACGAAGGGAAGAATCCCTTAAGAGAACCGTTAACTAAGATGAAGAAATAAGGACTAGAGTAGCAACCTCTTATCCACATTCTCCATCTCTCGCCGAATCCCATTCTGGATAGGGTTTGTTCTAGGATTGTCCAATCGATGTGGTCATACGCCTTCTCCCAGTCAATTTTGAAGATGAGCCCTGGCTTTTTTGTCTAAAGCGAGAGTGAATGCATTTGTGAGCTACGAGGACTCCATCCAGTATTTGTCTATTCTTAATGAACGCTGACTGAGATGGGGATATGACCAAATTGAGGACCTTTTCGATCCTGGAAGCCAAGACTTTTAAAAGGATCTTGTAAAAGAAATTGAGGACGCTGATAGGACGAAAGTCTTTAATGTCTTGGGCTCCTTCTAACTTTGGCACCATCACTAAGAAGGCTGCATTCAAGGCTTTATTTAGTTTTCCATGCCTATAGA